TGCGGGCTCTGTCCTTGCTAAGTGGGCGGGAAAAAAAGCCCTAATACCCAAAACCGTCTCACCGACCTCTGGCCCCCTTGGCTACCAAGCTTCTCGTGCTACGAGCAGCGAAGGTTCCGATGGGCCTACCTGCCGTACAGCATGAAGATGGCTGGACCTAGGGAGGCTCTCCGTGCATGACTTGATTTTGGGGCCTATGCTCTTGGTTGCAAAGGTTTGGGACTTGCAGCAAGCCCAAGAAATTGAACCCAAATTATCGTAATGCCGTGCAAGTCAATCAACCGACGGATATTCCCGATCCGAGTCCCTTAAACCCACCCTAACCCTAGACTCGAAACCTTAACAGATTGGGACATCCTTGGAAGTGTTTCACTTCATCCGACTACGCACCACTAACCTCGCCTGGCTTGACCGAGTCTGAGCGCCGAAGCCCTAACCCTACGACAGTTATGTCTGCCTCAAGATTCCCAGAGACTCCAATATCCTTTTGATTAAGGAATATACCCTAAAATCATATTGGGGATCCCTAAACCCTAAACCCTAAACCCTAGATCATATTAGGGATCCTTATTGTGATTTAAGGTATATTCCTTAATTAAGGGATATTGGAGTCTCAATTCGGCCCGGGGGCCGCCAGCCCGTAAGTACTAAGCCCTAGACTCGAGGACGCGAGATAATGAGGCCGCTCTTGGGTTTTAGGGTTCCTTTAAAGGGTACTATAAGGGTTCCTTTAAAGGGGTCTATAAGGGTTTAGGGTTTTAGGGTTTAGGGTCTAGGCTTCGTTTCTTTGGTTCAGGCAATCTGAAGATGTTCGGAGGCAATGGTGAGGGTTTGGATGTAGGCTTCGCTGGGCTAGCTTACATGCAACGGCACGAAACGGGTGGGGGTTTCTGTGAGTGGGGTCGAAATCCGCTTGTTTGTGACTGCCTGGCTCGGCCACTTTGGTTCTCTAAATAGCTTTTCAGGGTAACTACATTATGTCCCTAAGCCCTAAACCCCTAAACCCTGAACGTGCGATTTTGCAGACCCTCCTCTTTTTCGAAGACACGCGGGTTGGGGGCTCGCTGCTTGGATTAGACGCGTGAGATAGGAGGCAATCCATTTCCCCTAGAAACACTCGGAAAGTGTGTTTATTTTAGGGGGTGTTTGAACGGGTATTTGTGTCTCTACTGTCACTTTTGAGCGATCTTGCTCCTGCTCTTGCTGCCGCTCCTGCTCTTGCTGTTGCTTCTGCTCTTATTCGTACTCCTGCTCTTGTTCTGCTGCTGCTCCGGCTCCTGCCTGCTCTTGCCCTTGAACCGCCCTAATGTAAATTCGGCTTTAAAGCGCAGGGATGATTTCGGCAGGATTGGCCCCAAAGTGTTTTTGTTATGTGGGGGGCGTGTTTAGTTAATGTGGGAAGGGATGGACCTTAAAATCTATAGACCTCAAAGTTTCTTAGATAGGTTGTGATAGGGATTCATAATTCGGTAAAGCCTCATTCAGTAATGGTGGTTTCTTTGGGAAAGGCCATCCAGCACATGATCATCCGGAAGAACTACGGTGCCACCCACTTCATCATCGGGCGGGACATGGCTGGTACGAAGAGCCTCTTCCGATGATTTTGTTCCTCCGACCGAGCGTTTAAAGTTCTTGGGCTCAGTTCAGGTATCGGATTTAGGATGTCGGTTTTTCGTATTTAGACCATAGAGGGGATGAAGGCGGCATCGTGTACGGGCTTGCTAGAGTTTCCCAACATCATTTTGGTCATGCGGCCATCGCTGATCTCAGCCATTCCCCTAAACCCTGAGCCCTAAACCCTAAACCCCATTCCTCAAGTAGGCCGTTTCTGTAGGGTCCCTGGTCTCTGGGTTCGGGCCAAGGATGCCGTTTTGTTCTAAGGAGCACCATTGACGGCGAGGATTTCTATGGAGCCTACGACGCCCAAGAAACCGGCAAGAAGTACTCTGCGGAGCTCGGTGTGACGGTGACCCACTACGAGAACATGGCCCCTCCGTGGACTTCATTCATCTTCAGATCCCTTTGAGAACTCTGGGTATTATGCCGAGGTTGACAACTACAAGACTAGGTTTTTTAATTTATCGAGTTTCCGTCGAAGTTTCGAAGGGTGATCGGGACCCTTTCGCTTTTAAACACGGGGTCGTCATCTGCAAGATTCAATTGCATGCTTGTCAGTACCAGGTTTGTATTTTTGGAAGGAATTCGTGCGAGTCGGTGGTGTCGTCGGCTCTACGTGATTCGATGCAAAACCCACACCTGAGGAACCCCCATGCCTCAACCACGAACCCCGTTGTCCGAGCCCCCAAAACCCAGGGCCAAATGATTCACGGTTTTATGCCGGGCGCGAAAGATGGAGCGATCCAAATTTGATGTTTTGAGCGCACTGTGCCCCAGACTATTCTAGCATCAACTATATCCCCTTCTTGGTCCTCTGGTCCTGGTCCGCTGGTCTTTTGGTCCCTGGTCCTCTGGTCCCCAGGTCTGGTCTTTGGTCCCCAGAGACAGAGACAGACCCAAAGGCTCCATGTACCTTTATAGTAGCTACTTAGGCCTTAAAGGGGTCTCTATATAGGTACTTTAAGGCCTAAGTATCTACTATGAAGCTACATGGAGCCTTTGGGAGAGACACAGAGAGAGCGAGAGAGAGAGCCAACGTTAGGAATTGCGCTAGCGTTCGGAATTAAAAAACCCCTCTGCCCAAAAATCTTTCGGCACCCTTATAACGGACCCTAAAAAGGGACCTTATTTTGGAGAACTACCCATATCAACTGTCGGAGGCCGTTGAATTATGGGGGCATTCAGTCAAGGTCTACGTCGGTCCAGAGGAAGGCTACGTCCAGGAGAGCGTGGCCAAGAGCAAGGGCACCCTGGTTTTACATATTCCTTAGCACCTATAAAACCCAAAGGGTCCATAGGGACTATGATTGGGGGGTGCTTTCCCAAACCATATCAGTGACTCCTAATATGGAAACCCTACTTTCTACTACATAGGTACTTAGGGCCCTTTCGGATACAAGCCCAATTGACTCCCCCAAAGATAAGAGTGCACGGAACTTGGAAGCTTTGGAGCCAGCCCGGCTCAGGAGCGAGGGCACAGCGAATAGTTGTTGGTGAGGAAAATTTGTATCCAAGATTGCAGTGGTTACAAGCACCTGCGGAGTTGTTTTCGTTTTTTTTTCAGCTTTCTCCCCAATATCACTACATATCACTACATTTCCTTGGAAACAGGCATTCGCAATTCAGTGAAGCCTGTGTGAGCCCAGGCTCTGCTCCGAAGGACTTACCCAGGGTTTACCGATGTTTGAATGAGACGGTTTAGGGGGTTTAGGGTTTAGGGTTTTGGGTTTAGGGTTTAGGGATTAGTGAACTTGAACGAAGAAGCCTCCCCAGCGTTCCTCAAAGCAGCAGGGCTCAACAAGATAGAATCCTGAGTACTTACTACGCTGAGCCCTGAACGCAAACCTCCAAACATCCCTAAACACGAAAAGGCCCTAAATTCTCGAAGCCCGCAATCCTTAAAATCTAAATCCCAAAACCCAGAAATCCTTTGGCTCTGAACACTATGCCCATGGCTCCTGAACACCCAAGGCTCCTTAAAGCCCTCGAACATTCCCTCGACCTTATAAGCCTAAAGCCCTTGGAAACAAAACCCAAGGTCCTAGGCAGCATTAGGGAGACCCCTTAAAGGGGACCTATTCTTGTAGCTCTCTTAGAGGGGACCTTATTGAGAGGGTCTATATTCCCCCAGGGTCCCCCTAATCCTAACTCCCACAAGGCTACAAAGTGGTGAAGCTCTCCGGCACCGAGTTCCGGCGACGCCTCCGCGCCGGCGAGGAAATCCCGGAGCCTCTCGATCTCGTTTGCCCCCCATCAAAGTTCTGGGCTCAGGGTTTAGTGTTGAGTAGGGTTTAAGATTCCACGGTTTATAGGGTGAAGGGTTACTAGGTACCTGCTTGCGAGAATGATCAGTTAGCTTTAGCTTACCCAATCGTTTGTTTGTGTGGCCTCACGGAGAGGACAAGGACGGATTGTGTGTTTTTTGCGTTTGCCCGTTCTCTCGTCTGTATGACAGGTGGTTCGCGTTCAAGTCCGTGGTGGATATTCTCCGGAAAGCGGGTGATAGCGCCTTTTGCGCCTAGGCCGGGCCTTGGGCCCTGCACAGCATCTTTCAGCCTGTGCACAATATCGACTCAAAGTGGTCATAGTCCACAGCAGCGGTACACTGCAAGATTCTCAAGGATCCCACCTATCTGCCGGTCCAACATCCCGGAAGCTAGCGCTGTCAATCGCTGCAAGACTGATCCTTTTCAACACTTCCGTTAGAAGCAGCCAGTAGCAAGGCCTGTGGCCGTCTGCGCCCCAAGGAACCAGACGGTACCCAGGATCACGTGGGGCGTGTTCCACACTTCACCATGATAAGGACAGACTGGAACCTTGATTGAGGTGAACAAACCCCATGTAACAATCCTTCCCTAGCCGTTCTTGCCATGTCGGGTATCGCCTGCTCACAAAATGCGATGCAAGCGATAAGTTGAGCTCAAGAGCCTCAAGCCCGCAGTACTCCGGAACTTGGGGGGAACAATACCTCCAGCGATTCTCCGCCATGTCCAAGGCATTATCAAACGTGTTTAGGACTTGTTTAATTAATCCTTAAAGTGTTTCGGAGATGATTTGGCAGGGAGGCATTGGGTGCCAAGCTGAAGGCATCTTCCCATCTTCTGCGAGCACCAATTTTGCCTTTTCACTTTCCTCCATGCGGCAGTCGACTGCCCAGTTAAGCCTCACGAGGCTTTGCTGAAAAGCGGACAAAACGCAGCGATGCTCAAGATCACGCTCGAGACCCAATTCCGTTTGCATGGGATGTTGCAAGTCGTTTGCAGCATCCACCGGCCGAAGTTTGAGGTCTCCTGCGCAAGATAGGCAACACCGTCGTGATTTCCAGGATTCACGCTCTCCTTCCGCCTAATCCCTCTAGAAGTCGCCTTAAGCCTCAACCCTAAACCGTTTTGCCGAGCCCCGTGGAACCGGGCAGCTTCTGCAAGTCCAGGCTTGGGCCTCCTGTGCCCAAGTCTCAAGCAAGGGACGACGAGGGTGGAAGCCTTCTGCTTCGAGGTTCATGGGTGGTTATAAGGCTCCTTTAAGGGATCTATAAGGGGTCCTATAAGGGGGTATAAGGAGTCATACTTGGAGGTTCATGGGTGGTTATAAGGTTCCATAGGCTCCTTAGTAGTTCCTTTTTGGGATTACCTTATAGGATTCTAGATATGAACCATAAAAAGGAACTAGTTGGGAGCCTGTGGGTAGGGCGTAAAAGTAGGGCACCTATAGTTATAGCTCAGGGTGGTGAGATTTATGAACCCCAAACTTGCAACGACCCATGAACCTCCAAGTAAGGTAAAGTGCTTCTGGCCGAGCGTCGAGCAATGCTGCTTGAAGTCAGTCTTACAGCAGCCGTGGTCTCCCCTGTAGTTTTTTTAGTTAGGCCAGTGCAGTAGTTAGGATCCTATAAGGCTAAAGCCCCGAAAAGGAACTACCATGGAGGCTATAGGTAGAGCAGCTGTAGGACCATTTCTTATGCCTCCTGGCTCCCATGCTGGGCTGTGAGTGCTAGCCTTCGAAGGCACGTGTTGAACTGCAGACAGAAGGCCGCAAGCGGCACGTAGAATCCTAGACCTTACATTTCCCCAGATTCTAGGCGTGAAACCGGCTGCAGCTTCAAGGCTCAAGAATGCCGCGTGGAGTGACAGGCCTCGTTCCTACCAATCAGCTTCCTTCTCAACCAGGAGTCCGACAAGCACCCTCCGGCAGGAAGCTCCCAATGCCAGTCTTGGTTTGAGGGTTCAGGCCTCTCACAGAAGGATCCGAAGAATCGGGACCTGTCCCAAAAAACGGCTCTGCCTACGTAAACCTACCGAAAAAGCATGTCTCATGCGCGAAGCTTCGTCGTCTTGCTGCTGCCAGCGGCGCTCTTGGCAGCCGCAGGGCCCTTGGTTTTCGATCTTGACCTTCGAGTGTTGAAGTTTGAAGGGTTTAGGATGTAGCATTCAGGTTTAGGATTGATTCCCAGTCCTGCGGGAGGAGCTAGAAAGTGGTTAGAACCCTTGTAGAAGAATCGGGTACCTGGTACCTGGTACCCCCTTGCTACTCATGGGACCTTTGCAGGAAGCCATTGTGGAATGCATAATGTATTCTTGATTTTTGGTGTTTCCAACCGGATCCGGTCGTTCAGTGCTCCTCAAACTTCCTGCGAAAAGCGTCCCTGCAAAGAACCCGAAGACGAGCCACAGACGACATCGACAAGAGCAGCTTCTCGAACACTGCACTATCCCCTGTTACGGTGAATGAATCAGGTGCCCAAGGTCTTTCGGTTTGTATCCCGAGGGTGCGGGAACTACAACTCATCATAAGGCCGTGTGATTAAACGCATATCAGATGCTCTTGGATAAGGCCACGAGTCGCCCTCTCAACCAGGTGATCCTTCCCTGAGGTTGGCAAGGGATTCTCTCCTGTCCACCTTGCATCCTTTATGATGATTCCTACCTTCTTCATCACTACTACTGGCGTCTGGGTTTCCTGGCATTCACTACCCATAGGCCCCTAAGTAGTTCCTTTTTATGGTTCATATTTAGAGTCCTATAAGGTAATCCCAAAAAGGAGCTAATTACTTAGGGGCCTATGGGTAGTCTTGGATGAATTACCCGAACTCCAAACTTCAGCAGCCCCAGAAGCTTCTCAGCATGAAGCTCTAGGCTTAGGCCCGATTGAAGTGGATAGTTCTACGCATGGGTCGTTCTCTAAGTTAGGGCCCCTTGTTGGGTCCCCAATGTAGTACGGCACCCGTATAAAAAAAGGACACTAAAAGGGGCCGTAGTTTAGACAAATACCCAGATAATCTAGGTGGCTTTCGTGGCCCCTCGAGCGCCGGCCGTCGCCAAATCTCCGAGAGTGGTGATTAGAGCTGGCGAGGAGAAGCCGCAGAGATAGTCCAACATCCCCATGTGATGCACACTCAGAGAACCCAATACC